AGTTCCTTTACTTTTTTGAGATTTATTACCAGTTATTTTTCAAAAAGACAGATTTTTCAAGAAGCAAAGCTGAAAAAAGATCTCCATTTGAAGCTTCGTCAGGATTTGGCTATTTGTGCAACCAAAAACTATAGAGATTCTTATTTCAACAGAGTAAAGAACGTGGGCAAAGCTATGCAAACGGTATGAAGGGAACATACAGAAGCTATAAACTAATATTTGCAAAATTGTACATAGATAATTGTAAATTGATAGTCGCCTGCTAAAACAGTAATTATAAAACGGCAAAAATATAAGCGACAATACCTTCGCTATATTTTACTTGAAACCTAATAAATTGATTGATTAATCGTTGTCATAGATCAAGCAAAGAATAATTAAACACTGTAGTCTGTCAGACGGATAGCAACGACAAGTCTGTGCAAGCGGTGAAGATTAGGGTCATCAGACAACATAAGATTGGAGAAACCGAGGACAATAAGAAGCGCTAAAGACGGACGGATGAAGCCTGTTGTACGTTTTCCGTCTGTTTGATACATTCAGCTGCAGTGGAAATTCATAAAATCGGGCTTTTAAGTGGCGAGTACAAACAGGCAAAATTCTGTGTACATAATCAAAACACACAAAAAAAGGAAAAAAAAACACGTTGCTGTTGGTTAACGTAATCGACGATGTTTTGGCATTCTGGCTTATACTGCCCTGTGTTGTTCGCCGATTTTCAACATTTCCTACAAAAAAAAAGTAGAAGAAAGGAAGCAGGACAAAACTTGGTTATTATTCCTAGATAATGGTACGTAACGGATTAAACAACAGTTAATTATTTACGTGCAGTTAGTAGGATTTTTAGTAGCCACTTTTGTTTGTCAAATTTTCGTTGACTCAAATTGTTACTTTCAGTTAGCTACAAAAAGTAAAAGACTGAAAATAGGAAAATAAACTAATGGTCGGTTAGATGCAGTTGGCACTGTTTAGCTGCATATACTTTAATCATAGTAGTCTTATAAAGTTGAAGATTTTAAAGAGATGAAGGGCCCATGCGTCTTCTGAAATGGGTTTTAATCAAAAAAATATTTTCCAAAAATCAAGGTAAAAATTTAGGAAATTTCCAAATTATTATTATTGGTGTTATTATTATTTGCCTTATCCGTACAGAAATATGTTTTAAATTGTTAAACAAATAAATAAAATATGATCTATGCCAATCAATGAATTATATCTGTCATTTCAGCCTAAGTTTCTTTCTGCTTTTGTATTTTTTCTGTTCTTAAAAACCCCTTTTTTTTATAGTTGTAAAATAGTATCAAATCACAGGCTTTGAACGAGCAAAACGAGTTGATTTGTTTTTGTTTTCCTTTCTTGTTGCACAATTGAATAAATTTTAGCGAAGTAGCTATTTGGGTGTTTTACATAATCCAAAGAATTAATTACAATAATGATATTAAATAGAAAAGTATAAAACACTACCAATAAATCATTTCATAGCCATTTTTTAGCGCCAAGTCTGGTCAGGCAATTTGAACTGACAAAAGTTAGTCAGGCTTCCTGTTTTTTTTCAAGAAAGCTTTTTAGTTACTTATTGGTTTTTTATTTTTGAAATGACCAAAAAGATTCTTGTTTCAACCCTTACTGTCTGTGTCTTCATGACGCTATGTTGTATGAACGAAGCCTGTACAGAAGTGCTAAATAAAGTAAGGCTTTTACACTTCGCTTGCAATAAATAACGTTATTTCACATTATTATTTAGATTATTCTTGGTAAACCAAAGAGGCTCTAAAAAAGCCTCAATTTTTGAGTCAACTATTTGAATCATGCAAAAAAACCTTGCCAGCACTTTCACCTAGAAGACTCTGCGTAAGCAGACAAAAAAAACTTTCCGCAGAAACATTATTGCTTACACAATGCCTATTTTGAAATTATTCTC